TTATTGTGTGGTTTTGGTTTTCATTGTAATTGCTTAACATTGGTTTTGTTCAGTAAGATCTGTTTTTAGACCTGGCTGGAAGCTTCTGGAGCAGCCGCAATAATCAGGTGTAGTTCCCCTCGGTCTGTAAGAATGTTCATGAAGGGTACTCTCTCCTTCTCCTTTTGAGCGAACGACCCTGTGAGCTGTTCCCTTTACAGATGACGCGTATATGAGTCTCATAGCCCAACCAAGGCACAATCATCCAAATGAGGCGCCGTTCATCATCATGCACGTGCTATTTCTGAAACGCGACCCTAAGCAGAGGAATATGAATATCTATTGAAAGATGCATTATTTACTTTTACAATAATTGAATAGTTTAATTGAACTTTTAACGAGTCATAGTTACTTTTTCCGTTAGTGTATTGACATCAGATCAGAAGATAACACCACTGAACACATCCGGGCACTGTTTGCATGTAACACAGGATAAGACCTGGATATGGAATCCTGGAAGGGACATTGTCGCGTTGTCGCCCTCTCAAATACAAACAAAATGAGGCAAAATTAACCAAAACGCCATTGACGCGACAACGCGACATTTCGCCCATTTGTCGCATTGTCGCGTGTCGCGTTTTAGTCAATTTTAGGCTTCTTTTTACATCTTAGATAGGGCGACACGCGACAACACGACATATTGTGACCTTGAAAATTGTCGCTATGTCGCGTGTCGCCTTTGGAGGAATAGAAAATATTATTCAAAACGCGACACGCGACAAATGGGCGAAATGTCGCGTTGTCGTGATGTCGCGTGTCGCGTGTCGCGTTTGGGTTTATTTGCCTCATTTTACTTGTTTTGAGAGGGCGACAATGCGACAACGCGACAACAATGTCCCTTCTCGGATTCCATACCTGGATCTGTCCAACGTAACTATTCAGCAGTGGAACCATTTGTTTTCACCACCCACAACGGTATACGGCGGGTGGCGCCAATACAGAAAGTCGAGGCGCCATGTTATCATGATAATTAGAGAATAATCTTGACTTATTAGCAACGAGGTCGGACTATCACTAAACAATACTGTACTCCAGAAAACACGCCGGTTGAGAGAGGCTGTCAAGGTGAAATGTCGAGGAAAGCTCTGTACATCTGCATACTGTACAATTAACCCTGTGTAATAGTGTACAGTGTACGTCATTAGCTTCAAAACTGCTTTCCCATGCCACAGTTTCAGGAATTTAACATCTTCCGTCCAGCTCGCCCCTAAACTGAAATAGGACTGTGTGTAGGAATACGACCAGCATCGATGAGGTGATTGTCCTACACATGTTATATTTTGGGATTATAATTTATCATTAAAATTACAGATTCTAGTACTTTTGTTGTGTTGAGTTCCATTCACGAGTTGAACACACACCTCCGAGTCAGGCACCCAATGAACCAGCACAGTCACGCATCAAACCCCAGGCAGCCACCGCGGCTTCCACAAATATCCAATAAAATCCCACAACTGGTAGTCTAGACCACATGCGTGCCCCCTGTGACAAGTGTACATTGGTACGTCTCCCACGGTTGAGAATCTGTAATCCCAAATATAATATGAGTTACATTTTTCCACTTTCTAATTGCACTGTGTATTCAGAGGTGACCGTCGTCGCCGACTATTGCGAGGTACGGTACTTTTTCCTACTACGAGATGAAGACTTTTTAAAGGACAGGGATAACAGAATCGGAACATTGCTGGAACATGCATGTCGAAGTAAAAGACTTTGATTTTAAAATATATTACTCGAAAGTTCTGATTTGATTTTGAATTTTCTGCATTATACCATGAACGTTTCCGTTTAACCTTACTGTGCATTGTATGTACAGTGAACTCTGTATAATCCGACATCTGAATTATTCGACAATCTGTGAATTCCGACATATTTTTGGGTCCCGGTAGCGTTCTTCTATATTATCATCATTTAAACATTGAATTATCCGACATCTGTACTTTCCTGAATTCCGACATCATTTTCTGGTCCCAATGACACTATTACTCTGTACAATCCGACATCCTCTCCCCATATTGGACTAAAATAGCCAATCAACCTGTCAATAGTCAGTTGACAACTAACATCCTGGTACTGGTAATCTCTTCGGTCCCAGCACTTGCTAATTAGGAGGTAATTAGCAGTGTGAGAACGCCTGTAACCTTTGTTTATACAAGCTGAGTGGCCAGTGTGAGGGACCTAGGTATATTTTGTCAAGCATAAGATAAAATGGGCTTTTTCATGTAAGTGTGAATATGGTGATAGTATTACATGTATGTATATTGTACTGAAGATAATAAATACAAATGATATATATGTACATGTAAATACAGATTTGTTATTCCTCCCTTTATTTACCAAGAAAATAGCTATTAAAGCATTAATTTCATGATATAATGTATGGTACTGTTTGAAAAGTATTCGAAGTAAGGAGACATTGAATTATCCGACGCTCTGTATTATCCGACATTTTTCCCAGTCCCAGTGAGTGTCGGATTATACAGAGTCCACTATACTTGTACCGAGGGCTCTTTTGATTACATCGCTCACAAAGTACGCTTGTCGGTCCCTTAAAACATACGCCGCCATATAAGCTGGAATATAGCTGACTGTGGCGTAAAACTCCACCTCACTCACACCCCTAAAACATTAACACACAAACACAATGAAAAACAGAAACACTCATTACAAAACAAAAACATGTTTTATTCAGTGGTACTTTGGAACTGATCATCGGGTGTTATTTGGCTCCCTAATCACGAATCGCTGATAGCGTCCATCAAACAAATAATATAAAAATACATTGAGTTAAGCCCACATACATGTGTGTACTGTATGAGGCTTTAAAGAACACACATAAAGGTATGTAGAAATATACCAATAACGAATGCCTGTGAATAAAGTAAATATATATTAGGGGTGTGAAGATGGCACACCACGATGAGACTAAATATTAATATCTTTCGACACGCATATATTATTACGCTGAACCGTATGAGCAATGTTACCCACAATCCACAGTATATTATACAGACAAAGACACATAAAAAAACATTGTGATAAATGAAAGATTCCAACATCGTTAATATTTCTGGTTGCATGTAAAAAATACGATCAATGTGTATATCATCATGTTAGTGTGTTCAACTGTTTGGTTGTAAAATGCTTGGTATTATAATCCTGGGCAATCATGAAACAGTTGTAGAAATATATTGCAACAGACAAGACATTGTAGCTCACCTTCATCTGTTTGTAAGTCCAGCTGAAGCTGTCGTATAAACAACGGGTTGTGAGCATGTAATTTCAACAGGTTTTGAATGACTAATAGATGCATATAAGTAGCTTTATTTCTATCAAGTTTCGTAATCATCATGATAAGCATTGCCAATTTGTCATCCTTTCCAACTTTTGAATCCATGCTTCAACACTCGGGGATATGATAGCATGTTGAGTTTTGAGTGAATTATGCCACACTCCTGCGTTATTAAAGTATATTTCTGTCAAGAAGTGATTCGTCCACTACAGTCAGGATACAAAGGAGACTAATTAGAATTCTGGTTCTAAATATTTAAATTTGTGATATCACGAGTGGGAAGAAGAATATCAAATTATCAAATTTATCTGTGAGGCAGTTTGGAATAGGGTCTTACTATTGTTGAATCGATCTGCTTTGAAATACATATTTGATATTCATGTGCCATACACAGTAGTTGTAACTGTAGAATTCTATGTAATTGTTAACAATCGGAATTATTTAGGCTGTTAAACTCAGTGCGTTGGTAGGATTGGCGTGAACCCATGAAGGGTGAAACAATCCACAAGTACTGCTGCATTGGAATGTACACCTTTGTAACTATTCACGGCCAAAGTTGCCGTTTGGTGCACTGTGGCAGGTAGAATTCAAGCTGTATGTAACATCCACGTGGAGAGTTGTGTTGTCAGGGTACAGTTGGGTTATTCTCGAATCTATGTAAAATGTTACATCCACGTGGAAGTTGTGTTGTCAAGTGTACAGTTGGGTTGTAATCTATGTAAATGTTACATCCACGTGGAAGTTGTGTTGTCATGAGGTGTACAGTTGGGGTTGTAATCTATGTAAATGTTACATCCACGTGGAGGTTGTGTTGTCAGAAGGGTACAGTTAGGTTTGTAATCTATGTAAATGTTACATCCACGTGGAAGTTGTGTTATCGAAGGGGTACAGTTGGCTTGTAATCTATGTAAATGTTACATCCACGTGGAGAGTTGTGTTGTCAAAATTAGCTACAAGTTGGAGTTTGTAATCTATGTAAATGTACTTACAAACACGTGGAGAGTTGTGTTGTCAGGGTGTACAGTTGAGTTGTAATCTATGTAAATGTTACAAACACGTGAGAGTTGTGTTATCAAGTGTTACAGTTGGGTTGTAATCTATGTAAATGTTACAAACACGTGTATGAGTTGTGTTGTCAGGTGTACAGTTGGGTTGTAATCTATGCTTAAAATGTTACAAACACGTGGAGAGTTGTGTTGTCAAAGTGTACAGTTGGGTTATGTAATCTATGTAAATGTTACAAAACACGTGGAAGAGTTGTGTTGTCAGGTGTACAGTTGGGTTGTAATCTATATAAATGTTACAAACACATGGACGCGTCGTAATCAGTATAGATGTAATATTCAAAGTGACAGAGTTGTCTTGCAGTCTGTATAGACGTGACCTCCACCGGAAAGTTAACGTTGTACTCTCTGTCGATGCTAACGGTCATGAGTAGAGTTGCGTTAACTTGTAATCTATTATGTAATTGCTTAATATTTACGGGCTATATATACTGATGTAACATTCACTGGTATTAGTAATCTATGTTGATATTACTGTCATGGATAGAGTTGCGTTGTAATCTCTGCAAAATGTAATATTTACGATGGTAGGATCTGCTTGGTAATCTAAGCTGGTGCTAACATTCACAAGAGTTGCGTTGAGTCTAAATGGTTCTGGGACAACATCAAAGTGGAAGATGGCGTTCCCTGATGTAGCCGTTGCTATGAGCAACAGAGGCACCGACAAGATGTTCAGGCATGAGTCCCGCTGACGCCTGAAAGTAGTAAAGAAAAGGTACAGTAAGAAGCACTGTCAATACTGGACGACTTGTTAACTCTACATCCCTCCATCAACGCGATGTTATAGTGACGCTTATGTATTCTGTGTTAGAACACGGGGATGTGCATAACTCACGACAGTGTATGGCGAAATTTGTGCGTAGTCTACTAGTGGGCAGAGTAGATGGCAAAGTCGAATTTTGGACTAACAGCTTAGTCTCTGAATATATATAATTTTGAAAATAAACCAACAATTCCGTTTAAACTGAAAAGAAGCCCCATTGCGAAGGAAAATCCTGAACCTGAGGGAAATCTAGACTTAGCTTCATTTACAGCTTTAGCATTGAAGAAGGAAAATAATGGGTTCGAGGACTGTGAGACAGGCCAGATGACTATTGGTCAGAGCACTCGCCAGGCCGTTGGATGATTGGTTTTACTATAAATAGCGCCTATGCGAAAAGTTGTTGTGTGTTCCCGGCTGATCATGGCAGGGTAGACTAACCACTAGTCTCTGATATGAGCATATTTTACAGATAAAACAGTTCATATTAAAACAATAAAAATGTAATGAAAGAAGCCCTTTCTTCATTTTCAAAGCTGTAAAATCTAAACTTGCCACATATTCTAGACTTGCATTACGTTCTTGGATATATTTGTTTTCGGGTTTTCACGACAGGCTAATGGCAAGGATCAATTGTTATTTACCAACATCATAGCAACCTGTAGACACTGGACTAGAGGTAGGTCGCAAGATGAAAGATCGGAGTACTACCACACCGTGGGATGCGCTACCTCCGATCCTTACTTAAGGCAGAACGCACAGAACCATGAATATCATGATTTCCAACACATAAGACATATTTGTGCTGAGACACAACATATGTTATATATGGGATTAGACTTTGTACGTAAAGTAAAGATTCCCATCCGGGATTCAAACCCACAGTCTCAAAGAGAGGCACCAATTCACCAGCACCAAATGAATAGACAAAAGAGACGGTATTATTCCAAACAGAACGTAAGCTGCATTTAATAATAATAATGTAGTTTTGTATAGCGCTAGATTCCATAAAAAAACTATATGCTCAAAGCGCAACACGGAATAGAATAAAATACATTATAAAAGACTGATATTAGAGAGAAAATGTCAACACTACTGAGTCTGTGTACTGATTGGGATTCAGGCATAGTAGATGGTGAAGAGGTGAGTTTTCAGCTGTAACTTAAAATTGTCAAAGGATTTGATTCCTCTCATTTCTAAGGGAAGGTCATTCCAGAGCATTGTTGCAGCAGTTCTGAATGCCCTTAGTCCATATCCCTTCAGTCTGTAAGGTGGGACTTTCAGAAGATGTTGGCTTCCAGAGTGAAGATTTCTTGCTGGCCGATGTTCACAAAGGAGCTTATTTAGGTATGGTGGAGCTGTGCCCTCGCGGCACCTGAATGTCAAGCACAGTATGTTATACTTGATCCTGGCTTCTACTGGAAGCCAGTGAAGGGCCTTGAGAACCGGAGTGATGTGACTCATCCTTGAAACACGTGTAACAATCCTGGCGGCGGTGTTCTGTATCAGTTGGAGTTTCTTCAATGAAGATTTGGATATACCCCAAAGGAGACTATTGCCAACATCTAGTCGCGATAGGACGAGTGATTGCATAATATTTTTTGTAGCATCACCAGTGAGGCAGATCCGAATTTGACCGATGGATCGCAGATGGAAGTAGACAGACCTGCATAGGTTGTTCACATGATCTTCCATGGTCAGATTTGAGTCAATTACAATGCCCAAGCTTTTGACACATGGCACGAAATCGATTTGTGAATGACAGATCGACAAACCAGTCTCTTCTATAGATTGTAGCTGTTGTTTTGTGCCTAGAAGAATGGCCTCTGTTTTCTCGGCATTCAGTTTGAGCATCCTGTTCGTCATCCATCTATGTATATCAGATGCACAGGCTGTGATGTCATTAAGAGCGGATGATGTCATGTCAGGTTTAAAAGTATTGAACATTTGGGTATCGTCTGCATAGGCGTGTTCATTGACGTCATGTTGTTGTACCACCCGATCAATGACGTCATGTTGTTGTACCACCCCATCAATGCTGTTGGTGTAGAGAACAAAAAGTACTGGTCCCAATACCGACACTTGTTGAACACCGCAGGTCAGGGATACTGCACTTGACTTGTGGTCACCGATGACAACTGACTGGTATCTCCCTGATAGATGAGATGAAAACAGGCTTAAAGCTGTACCTCCTAGCCTTATTTCCTGGGCAAGCACTTGCAGCAACATGTCGTGATCAACAGTGTCAAATGCCGCTGATAAATCAAGGAGGACCAGGGCTCCAACTTTACCTTTGTCAATGCCAGATCTGAAGATATCAACCACACTGAGGACTGCTGTCTCTGTACTGTGGTTCACTCTGTAAGCCGACTGGAATTCATTCAGAAAAGCATTGGCGTCAAGATGAGACTTCAGCCTGATGTTCACTGCTCGTTCAATAATCTTGGAGATGAATGTGATGTTGACACTGGCCTGTAATTCTTCAGTTTCTCAGGGTCACGGTTAGGTTTCTTTAAGAGTGGATGTATTACGACCTGTTTCAGATTATCCGGACAACACACCGGTAGCCAGACAGCAGTTTACTATAGCTGTGAATATGGGCAGTTGGACATCCAATATCTTCAGGTTGTTAGTACCGTATCAACAGAGCAACTAGTCGAGCAACACTACCTCCGATTCCGTGAATGGTTCCAGTGCAAGCAGAGGTTCGCAGTCAGGAGAAGGGGAAACACCAACAGAGTTAATACCTGTAAAACTGTCTCTTATAGTTTTAATTTTGCAATCAAAGTACTCACTGAAGGAATCCGCCAAGTCCTTCTTATGTTCTTGTCTAGGTAGCTTTGGATGCTGCTTTCTCCCCAAAAGAGTCTTCATATAATCATTAAATATCGAGCATTGCCACAGATTTCATGGATTTTCTTCTGACAGGATTCGGATTTCGCAGAACGCATAACCTTGTGGTGTTCATTGCGGGCACGCTTGAACATCTGTCAGTGTACCTCTAGGCGACTCTTACGCCATCTGCGTTCTGCAAGACGACACTGACGTTTGGACTTGCGAACCTGCTCGTCATACCAACCCGTCTCTCTCCTCTGCTTTGTTGACTTCGACACAAGCGGAGCATGTCTGTCCAACAAACAAGACAAGGTGCCACACAACAAGTCAGGCAGTCCATTGGCGTCAGTTGGTGTGTCGGGAAGAGAGATGAACTTGTCAGGTCAGACTTGAAAGCGTCCATATCAACTGCTTTGATATTTCGACACTTGAATACAGACATTTTGGGCTTCTTCTTACAAACATTCCAAGTCATAGTGATAAGGAAATGATCAGAGACTTGTAAAGCTTCAACTCTTATAGTAGTGACAAGATTACTGTTTTCTTGACTCACCACCCAGTCTAAGATGCAGAATTGGCATTTCACCACATCCTAAAAACCATTGTGTATTCACACCAGAGACACATCCACGAAATATGGGGTAACCTCGAAACACACTTACCATGTCAGACACCTTTACAAACCCACGGTATATGGGGTAACCTCGAAACACACTTACCATGTCAGGCACCTCTATTCATCCACGGTATACGGGGTAACTTCGAAACACACTTACCATGTCAGGCACCTTTATCCATCCACGGTATATGGGGTAACCTCGAAACACACTTACCATGTCAGGCACCTTTACCCATCCACGGTATATGGGGTGACCTCGAAACACACTTACCATGTCAGGCACCTTTACCAATCCACGGTATATGGGGTAACCTCGAAACACACTTACCATGTCAGGCACCTTTACCTCATCCACGGTATATGGGGTAACCGTGAAACACACTTACCATGTCAGACACCTTTATGTCACTATAGCCAAACACGATGGCGTTCCCTGGTGTAGCTGAAGGCAGCATGAAGGCGAAGGTGGTGGCAAGCGTTGCTGGGAACATGTAGAACAATGGGTTCACACCTGTCCCTATTGCCTGCAATACATGGAGAAGGTTTGATTGTATATTTTGTTGCATTTCTACTTGACGTTAAATAACACTGGAATAGGAAGAATATGTAAAGAATATTCGCTTATTAATCATTAAAAAGACAGATCAGACTAAATCATACGTTAAACTATGTGCATTCCTAACTATTTCCTTTTATGTTTAAGATGGACTGATGGATAAGTACCATGAAGAGTTGCAATGTATGTCGTCATCACAGCGTTCACATACCTGTGCGACTGCTACTAGTGTCTGTACAATGTATTTTCATTGCTAAAACGTTGATCAGAATTGGCATTTACAGAACAAAGAAATAACTGTGATACTCTTTCTCTCACGTTATTTCAAATTCCTCAAACTTGTGTTTGAAGTAATTGTTTTCAAGGTACATTCGCCCTGTTTTTTATTCTTCAGCAATATTCCAGCTTACGGACCGATCCATGTCGTTTGGGTAACCTTACAGGTCAACATCTGATCGCTAAGTCTAACTACCCAATATATTATGTGGCCTCTTACAGTCCCTGCTTGAAACATGTTCTATTGCGGAATCTCCACATGGTGCCTGTTTTGGAACGTACCAGGTTGGCCAGAATTGGTAGGATGAGGTTGGCAGTGGCCCCATTACTGGTCACTTCTGTGGCAACAGTACATATGGAGCATATGACGAACAGCATCAGCCAAGGGTCCATTCCTCGGAAGGTCTCAAGCTGGGTTCCAATCCACAGCGATAGCCCAGATTCCTGTTAAACAGAAAGAGCCATTCTTTTACCAACAACCTTTCTCTAATGCACACAATATACACTAGACGCCAAAAGAAACGTTACCCTCATACCTTTATGAATCACTTCAAAACTATCAAAGATATGTTAGAAGGTTTTAGTTTACAAGAAAGCTTAACAACACAGCTTTATGCAAATCACGAAAAGAAATTCTCAAATGCATTCATATTGAGGTGAAATGCATCTTTTTCAGAAGAGTCAAATTGCTCTATATTCGTCCATGCCGCAATAAACCAATAACAGTGATTTTGATGTCCAAAAGGAACATCTAACATTATCTTTGTTAATATTTATGCTTGCAAAGTAAAACTTTTCCATTTTCTGCATACACATAGCAACACCAATCGCCAAAACGCAGCAATATTAAAGCAGTATTTACATTTTACATGTGGAATGATTCTATAGGGTATAAAGAGAGCCTAGAAGACATGATCTGATACATAAGTACGAGAAATAAGTCACGATTAACAGCTGAAGGGAGAGAAAGAATAATTGGGATGGTGCAGATGGGGTCGACATACAATATTGTTGCCAACGCCCTCGGATGCCACAGTATCAAGGTTATAGTAGTCCATGGGCTAATATCAATACGGAGCAGATTCACTGTCAATTTATACTTTCACCTTGGACATCAATACCAAGCAGATTCCCAGTTAACGTATAGTTCCATCTTAGACATCGATACATAGCAGATAGCCAGTTAATGTATAGTTTCACCTTGGACATCAATACGTAGCAGATTCCCTGTTTACGTATAGTTTCACCTTGGACAGCAATACGTAGCAGATTCCTAGTTAACGTATAGCTCCGTCCTGGACATCGATACATAGCAGATTGCCAGTTAATGTATAGTTCCATCTTGGACATCAATACGTAGCAGATTCCTAGTTAACGTATAGTTCCATCTTTGACATCAATACGGAGCAGATGTCCAGTTAACGTATTGTTCCATCTTGGACATCAATATGCAGCAGATTCCCAGTTAAAGTATAGTTTCACCTTGGACATCAATACGTGGCAGATTCCTAGTTAAAGTATAGTTCCTCTTTGGACTTCAATACGTTACAGATTCCCTGTCAACTTATAGTTCCATCTTGGCCATCAATACGTAGCAGATTCCTAGTTAACGTATAGTTCCTCCTTGGACATCAATACGGAGCAGATACCCTGTCAACTTATAGTTTCACCTTGGCCATCAATACCTAGCAGATTCCCAGTTAACGTATAGTTCCATCTTGGACATCAATACGGAGCAGATGTCCAGTTAACGTATTGTTCCATCTTGGACATCAACATGTAGCAGATTCCCTGTTAACGTATAGTTCATCCTTGGACATCAATACGTAGCAGATTCCCAGTTAACGTATAGTTTCACCTTGGACATCAATACGTAGCAGAATCCTTGTCAACTTATAGTTCCATCTTGGACATCAATATGCAGCAGATTCCCAGTCAAAGTATAGTTTCACTTTGGACATCAATACGTGGCAGATTCCCAGTTACTGTAAAGTTCCGCTTTGGACTTCAATACGTTGCAGATTCCCTGTCAACTTATAGTTCCATCTTGGCCATCAATACATAGCAGATTCCTAGTTAACGTATAGTTCCTCCTTGGACATCAATACGGACCAGATACCCTGTCAACTTATAGTTTCACCTTGGCCATCAATACGTAGCAGATTCCCAGTTAACGTATAGTTCCTCCTGGGACATCAATACGGAGCAGATACCCTGTCAACTTATAGTTTCACCTTGGACATCAATACGATGCAGATTCCCTGTCAACTTATAGTTCCACTTTGGACATCAATACGGAGCATATTCCCTGTCAGCATATAGTTTCACCTTGGACTTCAATACAGAGCAGATTCCCAGTTAAAGTATAGTTCCTCCTTGGACATCAATACGTAGGAGTTTCCCTGTCAACTTATAGTTTCACCTTGGACATCAATACGGAGCAGATTCCCTGTCAACTTATAGTTCCACCTTGGACATCAATACGTAGCAGATTCCCCGTTAACGTATAGTTTCACCTTGGACATCAATACGGAGCAGATTCCCAGTTAACGTATAGTTCCTTCTTGGACATCAATACGTTGCAGATTCCTTGTCAACTTATAGTTCATCTTGGACATGAATACGTAGCAGATTCCCAGTTGACGTATAGTTCCTCCTTGGACATCGTTGCAGATTCATAGCAGATTCCCAGTTCAACGTATAGTTCCATCTTGGACATCAATACGTAGCAGATTCTCTGTCAACTTATAGTTCCACCTTGGACATCGATACGGAGCAGATTCCCAGTTAACGTATAGTTCCATCTTGGACATCAATACCTAGCAGATTCCCAGTTAACGTATAGTTCCATCTTGGACATTAATACGTAGCAGATTCCCTGTCAACTTATAGTTCCATCTTGGACATCAATACGGAGCAGATTCCCTGTTAACGTATAGTTCCATCTTGGACATTAATACGTAGCAGATTCCCTGTCAACTTATAGTTCCATCTTGGACATCAATACGGAGCAGATTCCCTGTCAACATATAGTTCCATGTTGGACAGGTACTAGACGATGCAAATGTTTTCAAAATAATAGTTGATGTTACGTGATGGCTTTAAAGAAAATAGGAGCTGTTTATTCTAACATTTAATTTCGTAAGTTCTCAAACAACATGAATATTCAAGATGTAGTGGCAATCGGCGATTGCATTTCAGATTAAAGTTTGCAGTTACTACAAAGTCAATTGTTATATGCAATGTACCATAAATATAGTCGAAGTTGACGATGGTGGTGACAACAGTTGAGAAAGAGTAGTGAAAATTCGTGGTTTTCAAAATAATAGCATTTACTTATTATAATATTTGTAATTTTAATACAACATTAATATTCTCAGTGAAATGGCAGACGTGGAATGTACGTTGTTAACAGATGGTATAAATATCTAGAGAAGAAGACTTAATATATAGTCCCGTTTGTTATATGAAGTGAAGTAAACTACACATTGAGACTGGCAGTGACGGCAAAAGTTGCTAATCATTCATAGGCGGATCCACGAATTATCAAAGCTTATCACTTGTGAAATGTTCATCGCTATGGGATGCACATGACGTGGTATTTTAAGGAGTAGTTTCATTGTTGACCGCAAGTATGTGTTTGACACTATCTTTACTATGTCTCTGGTATCATACCGCTGCTTAAAACAGCTCATCTAGGTCGGATGTCATATGTTACTTGGGGTTACAACTTGTGTCACATCTCATGTACTGCGTTTTGAACAAAGGACACTTTGCAGTCATTTCTGCCATTACTACACAATATATAATATGCACACTTTGCTAAGGATCAAATTGTGGATTCAACAGAAAACTATGATGTGGGGTCAAATTGGATTTAAATATCTTAGCTTATTGTAATAATGGATCCTAGGTTTTAGTGTGTCATTTCATCTTGAGGATCCCATACCTGCTATTGACAGGTGTGGTGTACTTGCCAATGGCTCGTTCCATGATTTGCAAAATGGTTGATTGGTGCCATCAAAACCATTTTTATGGTTCCTCATCTATCAAGTGCATAAGGTTAGAATGAAGTGACTGTTTGCTTAAAGAGGGGTTAACATATATTTTAGCCAGTTTTAAATGGATACAATTTCAAATTATGAATCTACGTTTAAGTAATGTTGTGAATTCTTGTGATCCTTAGCAAAGTGTGAGTAGTATATATGCGCCAAGTGTTTTCTATAAAATACCAAGGATTTATTCACGCTATACACATCTGCCCTTGGACATCTAATCTCTATGATGAATGCGGGTCATCACTGTTACGCTAATGGTACTCAGTTGATGAAGACATTCTTTCCAAAGGATTCTCAGTCTGCAGTTGATCAGATGATGATTTGAACAAACAAGATTCAGTGTTGGAAGGATGTTAACATTCTGAAACTCAACACTGATAAAACAGAAGCCATGTTAGTCGGGACTTGGAAGAACAGGGAGACAGCAGATATATCAACACTATGTGTTGGAGAATCTCATGTCCAGGTATCAGACTGTGTCAGGAAACTGGGCGTCCTTCTCGACAGTGATCTCTCAATGGAGCATCATGTTAGTATGATCTGCACAGCATGCCATTTTAATCTGAGAAATATTGGCAGTATGAGACATCTCCTGACCACTAACGCCGCTAATATGCTGTAATAGTCTGCTCGTTGACATCTCACAGCAACAGTTCTCCAGACTACAGAAGATACAGAACATGGCGGCAAGGATTGTGTCATAACACCTGTGCTCATCCATTTACATTGGCTCCCCGTGTGAACGTGTGCAGTTCAAGGTATTGGTATTGGCATACCGATGCCACCATGGATCAGCCCCATCATATCTGGTCGAACTCTCACAAATGTATAAACCGCACAGACCCCTTCATTCAGCAGACCAGCATCTCTTCCACATTCCGATGACTAACGTGAAATGATATCGCCGAGCTTTCAACTATACTGCTGCAGTTCTGTGGAACAAATTCTCGACTGAATTCAAACAACTCGAAACACTCTCGTTTTTCAAGTCCCAGTGCCTTGTGTTTGTCGTCCCCATTGGCAGAGTTAAAATTGATATTGTAGTATATCTGTAGCGCTGTGAGCATGAATGTTATTTCGTAAAGGGTTCATCACTGGTGGCCAGAGGTCAGAACTGAACAACTGTCCAACATGACCTGAACCTCAGAAGATTCGGACTCAACCCTCAGCTTGGAAGGTTATGAGCACAGAATTCCGTGATTCGAAGACAGTTTTACGGGTCGACGACCAACCCATTCTACAACAACAGATCAGTATTAAGTCTGTTGACGGACATGAGCAAATAATCCACAACACGTGCAGATGGGTGTTGACACAAAGAGTTCTACTATTCATTCGGTCAGCAGGTCCAGTGTTGCACAGGAAGCTATGAATGAAGGTTGCGTAACCAGTTACCGCTTCCTTATCAATGACGGCCGACAACTCTAGGGCTGAAATGACTGATGGTCCTTTACTGTAGCTTGGTTCAATGCCCACCTGTCAACGTTTGACAGTAATCAGTTATTTTGACTTAACATTACACTCGAATTATTATGAACAAAGAAAGTACATCGTTGTTCGAGGTTTTTCTACAGAGACTTCAGTTCCTTACCTGACATGCTGTGGCCAGAGCGAATCCACCGCCAAGCAGAAACAGAATATTCCAGGGCATCTTCTCGTGGAGGAACTTCCAAGTCATCAGTGGTTCGAATGGAGCGTCTGCCTCAGCTCGTTCCTCCTCGGTCATCCCATAAACTGTTTTATCAGATAATCGACAATGTTATCGATGCGATAAACTAGTCTGATACACTTGGTTTACGCTTCAATAAATATGAAAAAGGTCACCAAGGAGGTTACCTATAAAAATAGAACGTCAGTGCAAACGAATATATAGTCTTGGCTACTAAATAGTCTTAGTGAGTGAGTGAGTATGGTTTTATGCCGCTTTTAGCAATATTCCAGCAATATCACGGCAGGGGACACCAGAATATGGCCTTCACACTTTGTACCCATGTGGGGAATCGAACCCGGGACTTTGGCCTGACGAGCGAACGCTTTGACCACTAGGCTACCCCACGGCCCCCTACATGGTGTTAAGCTCATCGATACAATGTCAGCTTTCTCAATGATTATTGAACCCTGCATACATAAACTGTCTCTTCCAGATCAGATCATCGTCTTTTTATTGATCATTTTATGATAGCCATTATATCTTAACGAGATTACCACCCCAGATTCTTTCCTTGTAATAAACATATATGATATGTTATGAATTAATATTAAGAATAATGCTCTCCAGAGGCTCTCATAATACAGTTGTTATTCCTGCTGCATGATACCCAGCTCGTGGGGGAATCCTTTGGAAAAACTCACGAACCAAGTGGCCTTATAGCATGCTGAGACATATTTTGCAAACATTTGATATGGACGTGTTCAGCCCAACGCTAGAGCGCCAATGTAGCAGACAGAAACTGGATTCGAACCATGGACCTTCTGGTCCGAGGTCGGAGGTAATGTGCACTTGACCAATAAAGATTAGCCCCGTCGGACATCAAGTAAATATGTCATCTGTGCTACACTTTCGGAATTGTTCATGGCACACTGAAAACTTTAGCTCATTCATCGTTCATACTTCACGAGGGCGGTGGGGTAGCCTTAATGGTTAAAGCGTTCGCTCTTCACGCCGAAGACTCGGGTTCGAATCCCCACATGGGTACAATGTGTGAAGCCCATTTCTGGTGTCCCCCGCCGTGATGTTGCTGGAATATTGCTAAAAGCGGCGTAAAACCAAAACTCAGTCAGTCAGTCATACTTCACGGCTCATATACACAAGGCTCCTCCACCTCTCGTTACCACATTCGGTGACTTAATGGTGTAGAGTGTATTGACCCTAGTCAGTATGTGTTAGTCAACTAATAAAATGTACCGACTGTGAGGTCAGTGAGCCTCACGGGATGTTAGAACAACGATAAAAGCACGACTATTGCCTGATATTGAGTAGAGGCGATAGCGACATGGTCATCATTTCATACATTGCCAAGCGGAAACATTATAATCTTCGCTAAGGTTGGACAACGAAGACCCCATCCCATGGTTATGGTCATCAAGGCCGACATAAATACAAAAATACAATCCTGGCATCAGAATGCACTAACACTGACATCAACAAATGAAAACATTAGTCTTTTTCACATAGGCTGTGTGTACTAAGGGGGGGTATTGTCCCGGAACTACAATACAACTCATATTGGACCATCATGGGCATATTCCTTCCCATGATAACAAGTCAATTGTATCGGCTTTATCGAACAGAAACATAAAGTAGTTCGGAAACAATTGTGTAAATAATCACAGATCACTAGCAGTATAACCTGTGGCAATATGGACAGCATCTGAAAGGTTTGCGATCATCATTTTCACAGTTTCACACCTCCTTCAGCAGGTGCTCAGTTATTTTATTTAAATGAATAAACTTAATGATCACTGTTCTTTGAATATTTGTCAGCTTTGTCTTTAAGAGTTAGACATGTGTACCCCAGACATATACAATGTACTGACGTACAAAAGAAAGTACACACCTTGTGTACTGAGACTATTCCCAAATAAACAAATATTTTGCTAGCAACGTTGTCATTGGTTACGATACGAAATCTCGTGTTCTTGCAACACGTACACAATGTTTGTAACTTGTAGTCACAGTCGAAACACTTTTCTTATTTTAACACTGTTTTTAAGAAAATATTTTACCAAATCGTCATGTGTGTACTTTCTTTTGTACGCCAGTTTATATCAGCAACATGGGTTCATTAGTTGTTTTGTCTCGACACGCACTGTTGACAATCAACAGGTCGTTCGTAACAGTAGCAAAGTGCTAAAGGCTACATAGATGGGCGTGGCTGGTGTATTTACCGTTACGTCTGCAACAAAACACACGTGGAATCCTTGAGGGCAACACAAACAGCAGGAATGACAGGAGAATAGCTGGAGTGGAGTCTCGAGTCATACTGAAACAAGGACAGATCAGTTATGTGTTGTATTTGACAAACGCAGGATCTGTGTGAGGAACATGTCATCGCGCTTAACAATATGATTTGAATAATGTTACACCATCAAAATAATCATACACAGATCGTGCAACGCCCATTATAGCCATACAGTCTTTTAAGACTTTGCTTGGTTTGAGCAATAGGAAAAGCATGAACACATGCAGATTTTGTAGATAAATACTTCCATGTTATTTACTGTGACGTTACAATGTGACATCTGTCATATGTGGTATTGACGTGAAGCCATATGTATAATTGTGAGTGAGTGAGTTGAGTTTTACGCCCCTTTTAGCAATATTCCAGCAGTATCACGGCTGGGAACACCAGAAATGGGCTTCACACATTGTACCCATGTGGGGAATCGAACTCGAATCTTCAGCGTGACGAGTGAACGCTTCAACCGCTAGGTGACCCGACCGCCCCGCATAATTGCGAAGGGACAAGAGATAGCCCAGAAATGTGTTATAGACAAAGACGACCTTGTTATCCTAAAAAGCTATATGCGTCTGTGTTACTCCAACTTAGTCCACATCAAGGTGTTTAAAATGTATTTATTGAGTATACAATTTCTATTGTGCTCACTTGTACTCGAATAGATCTCCCCATCCACCAACTCCACCAAGATCCCGTGTGAGCCAGAAAATGACGAGAAGAATGAAACACACACCGACACTACCTTGTCCGTACCTGTGGCAACAAAGGTATGTCATGAAACAAAGGTATGATACGAAACAAAGTTATGATATGAAACATAGGTACAAAGGTATGACCTGCAACAAAGGTATGACACGAAACAAAGGTATGATATGAAACAAACGTATGATACGAAACAAAATTATGATATGAAACAAAGGTACAAAGGTATGACACGAAACAAAGGTATGACACGAAACAAAGGTATGACATGAAACAAAGGTATGACACGAAACAAAGGTATGACATGAAACAAAGGTATGATACGAAACAAAGGTACGACATGAAACAAAGGTATGAATAGAAGGAACATTAAAGTTCATTATATCTTTCATGGTCTTAATGATCTTACACCGAACTGTCCTTGTATTCAAACTTCCTAAGTAGCAGATTTATGTAGAACTGTTTAGTCTACCGGTCATATAATTCCTTTGTCATCATGATAAAAATAATAGTTATTCAAGTAGCTAGAATACACGGCGTCTAGAGGAAACTCACGTAACCGATCCCAGTTTCTTGTACTCAATCTCCAGGAGACCTCTCACTTTCTTCGCCTGCAGTTTCCTGGTCTCGTTATCCTTATTCATGCATGAACAGATGTCCCTAAATCACGTCAACTAATCAGTCATGCGTTTCAGATTAATCAATAACATTATTCGCAAAGCTTTCAATATTGAGTTAATGATTGGTTGGTTTGTTTGTTGTTCATCGAGAAAATCCAGTGATCAACATCATGAGCATCGATCCAGGCATATGGGATACGATGACATGTATTGAATGAATGAATGCTTTGGCATTATTTTACACCGCGTTAGCAATGATACTACGGGGGGCACCAGAATGGGGCTTCAAACATTATATCAATGAGGGGAATCAAACCTGTATTCTTTAAGAGTGTACAGTTTGATCACTGATATGTGTTAATAGGGAATTATATCGCAGTAGGTATTCTAGGGGATTATATCGCAGTAGGTATTCTAGGGGATTATATCATAGTAGGTATTCTACGGGCTTATATCGCAGTAGGTCTTCTAGGAGATTATATCACAGTACTGACTGACTGAGTTTGGCTTTACGCCGCTTTTAGCAATATTCCAGCAACATCACGGCGGGGGACACCAGAAATGGGCTTCACACATTGTGCCCATGTGGGGATTCGAACCCGGGTCTTCGGCGTGACGAGCCAAATATATCACAGTAGGTGTTCTAGGGTATATATCGCAGTAGATGTTCTAGGGGATTATATCACAGTAGGTATTCTAGGGGATTATATCACAGTAAGTCTTCTAAGGGATTATATCACAGTAGGTATTCTAAGGTATAATATCACAGTAGGTATTCTAGGGGATCATATCACAGTAAGTTTTGTAGGGGATTATATCACAGTAGGTATTCTAGGGGATCATATCACCGTAGGTATCGTAGGGGATCATATCACAGTAGGAATCCTAGGGGATTATATCACAGTAGGTATTCTAGGGATTATATCACAGTAGGTATTCTAGGGATTATATCGCAGTAGGTATTCTAGGGGATTCTGGCACAGTGAGTATTCTAGGGGATTATATCACTGTAGGTATTCTAGGGGATTATATCACAGTAGGTATTGTAGGGGATTATAGCGCAGTAGGTATTCTAGGGCATTATATCGCAGTAGGTATTGTAGGGGATTATATCACAATAGGTATTCTAGGGGATTATATCACAGTAGGTATTCTAGGGGATTATATCGCAGTAGGTATTCTAGGGGATTCTGGCACAGTGAGTATTCTAGGGGATTATATCGCAGTAGGTATTCTAGGGGATTCTGGCACAGTGAGTATTCTAGGGGATTATATCGCAGTAGGTATTCTAGGGGATTCTGGCACAGTGAGTATTCTAGGGGATTATATCGCAGTAGGTATTCTAGGGGATTCTGGCACAGTGAGTATTCTAGGGGATTATATCACTGTAGGTATTCTAGGGGATTATATCACAGTAGGTATTGTAGGGGATTATAGCGCAGTAGGTATTCTAGGGCATTATATCGCAGTAGGTATTGTAGGGGATTATATCACAATAGGTATTCTGCATGGCGGATAGTTTTGAAATGTGCACACGAGGATGTATGAATACGCCAACTGGTTATATGAGAAAATGTTCTGAACAAATTTACAAGAAAATAGTAGGCAGATAAATGTACTTTGTAGTTTCTGAATGAAATACATAAATCTGTGGTGTTTTTTTGCATATATATCTATATCTATCTATCTTTATATCTGCGTGCGTGCGTGCGTGCGTGTGTCCGAATCAGGTGTGGAAACGACGATGGTGATCCCTGATTACAGAAGTTGCTCCTACCTGCATCTTAGGAAGATCATGTACAGCCAGCCCCAGCACACAAACAGGAGGACCACGGAGAGAGGTAGGCCATACGCCATCCATGTTGCAAAGTTGATGGGTGCTCCGAGACCACGGCTGTTGTACAGTCTGAAACATTGTGTGACGTGTTACTTAACGCGACGTTGACACCCACCGTGCACTTCTGTTAGTCAAGGCTTGGCCAGATTGGCAGCCCATGCCCGTGCCTTGCACGTCATTCAATGAGTGTGTCTCATAACTGAACTCGAAATATATTTCTTGTTACTTCGATTATTTTCTCGTTACTTCAAATGTCTTCCAAAACTTCATAGTTTCTGGTTGCTTCGAATATTTTCTCGTTACAATGATTACTTTCTTGTTTCTCGATAACTGAAGTTAACGGTAACCTTATAAAACAGATGTCTGTAATATAAGACAATTGGACTAGAAATTCGTCTTTAAAGCCATACAGGTAATACATGGAATTTGATAAGACGATGAAATTCAGAAATCAGGGAGACTTTGTAACCTTGGGTAAAAACATTACCCGTCTGACAGTTGTGGGAGGATGTGGAAAGATAAGAGGTGGAAATGTTGAAAACAGTCCTCACTCATCTGACAGTCCTTTCAACACCAGGTTCGCTGCACTTCCGGTGATACCTGCCACGCCCCCTGCCGTCGCACCATAGGCAATACACAGAGTCAAGGCTTTCTTTATACGAATAAATTCCGGATTTTTCGAGACGTCGATTTCATTTCTGAAAAGAGTAAAACATATAATGTACGGGGCGGTGGGGTAGCCTAGTGGTTAAAGCGTTCGCTCGTCACGGCGTAGACCCGGGTTGGATTCCCGGGGTATATTGTGTGAAGCCCAATTCTGGTGCCCCCTCCGAGGTATTTGTTGAATATTGACAAAAGCGGCATAAGACTATACTCACTCACTCACTTATAAGTATACACTGTATATTGGAGAAACGTGGTCTTGCTGAATAAAAAAAGACACTATTAGAAAAGTTTGTGATATCTGTTAACGTTATATTATAAGGTGGTTGTAGATATTAAAATCCCTACATACTATATGATGTTGTTTTTTTGTTTAACGACGCACTCAGCAATATTCCGGCTATATGGCGGCGGTCTGTACCAGACAATCTGGGCCAGACAATCCAGTGATCAACATTATGAGCATCGATTACGCAATTAAGGCACGATGACACGTGTCAACCAAGTCAGCGAGCCTGAACACCCGATCGCCTTTTACGACAAGCATGGGTTGCTGACGTCCAATTCTACTCCGGAACTTCACGAGTACACCCTGTAGTTACTATCTGATACACTCTTAGCGTTGACTGTAAGTCTGGTGTCTCATGATGCAATCATCAATATTTCACCTATACACCTCGGTCTGGACCTGACAAATGTCTGCAGTTAGGACACGATGACTCGTATCAAATAAATCAGCGAGCTTCCCAAGACAAGCATGTATTAACGAAGACCAAGGATATTAACGCCTAAAATATCAGTCAAGGCTTTTTTATTTACGGACCGCCGCCAAAGTACTGCGTGTTGAGTAAAATGTAGCAAAAACAAAAGTTTAAAAGCTCTAAGATATTATTGATGTTAACATAGCTGTTAAACATACAAGCCATGATCAGTAACTGTCTTTACTTATTTTCGCCCATAATATTTCACTGTTCCTAAGACTAATCTTACATTTCCTCTATATTTTCCGGCTTTTCTTTCAGCTGCCCTTCATCTGTAGTTTTCTGGATGTTTCCTTTTTCGGGTTCCTTGGTATCTGTATCAATTTCCACTGACGTATGTTCACCCCGAACCTCTGTGCCATTTGCATTCATTTCTATCACTGTAGGAAGAGCACCTGACAAAGACATATTACAAGTCATATACAATGTAATAAGGCTTCACTGAGTAGTACATGTTTAACATAATTATCACAGAGTAAGCAAGTACATAAAATTTGTAGTTTCCGTCAGCTACAGACCTGATCAAAAGATGAATATCATCTCTTCTGCCGACATATGTCTAGTTTCCGTCAGTAACAGACCTGATCAAGAGATGAATACATCTCTTCTGCCGACATATGTCTAGTTTCCGTCAGCTACAGACCTGATCAAGAGATGAATACCATCTCTTCTGCCGACATATGTCTAGTTTCCGTCAGCTACAGACCTGATCAAGAGATGAATACCATCTGTTCTGCCGACATATGTCTAGTTTCCGTCAGCTACAGACCTGATCAAAAGATGAATACCATCTGTTCTGCCGACATATGTCTAGTTTCCGTCAGCTACAGACCTGATCAAGAGATGAATACCATCTCTTCTGCCGACATATGTCTAGTTTCCGTCAGCTACAGACCTGATCAAGAGATGAATACCATTTGTTCTACCGACATATGTCTAGTTTCCGTCAGCTACAGATCTGATCAAGAGATGAATACCATCTGTTCTGCCGACATATGTCTAGTTTCCGTCAGCTACAGACCTGATCAAGAGATGAATACCATCTCTTCTGCCGACATATGTCTAGTTTCCGTCAGCTACAGACCTGATCAAAAGATGATTATCATCTGTTCTGCCGACATATGTCTAGTTTCCGTCAGCTACAGACCTGATCAAAAGATGACTATCATCTGTTCTGCCGACATATGTCTAGTTTCCGTCAGCTACAGACCTGATCAAGAGATGAATACCATCTCTTCTGCCGACATATGTCTAGTTTCCGTCAGCTACAGACCTGATCAAGAGATGAATACCATCTGTTCTGCCGACATATGTCTAGTTTCCGTCAGCTACAGACCTGATCAAGAGATGAATACCATCTCTTCTGCCGACATATGTCTAGTTTCCGTCAGCTACAGACCTGATCAAGAGATGAATATCATCTCTTCTGCCGACATATGTCTAGTTTCCGTCAGCTACAGACCTGATCAAGAGATGACTATCATCTCTTCTGCCGACATATGTCTAGTTTCCGTCAGCTACAGACCTGATCAAGAGATGAATACCATCTCTTCTGCCGACATATGTCTAGTTTCCGTCAGTAACAGACCTGATCAGGAGATGAATACCATCTGTTCTGCCGACATATGTCTAGTTTCCGTCAGTAACAGACGTGATCAGGAAACCACCTACCATCCTTCTCTGGTGATACCCATCTTGTTTCCTTCAGCTGTTGAATGATGGCATAAGCGATCGGGTACATCATGGCCGTAGCTGCAGCATTGGTGATCCAGATCGACAAGAACCAAGTTGATATCATCAGCCCAAGCATCAACCTTTAAAGAATGTGAAGAATTTGGAATTTTTATTGTTAATTATATCCTTAGACATTTTTCAATATGTAACAAAGCGTAACATAAATCCATAAAATTGTACCTCATCTTTCAGATGTTTCACATGGTCAAATGCAGGTTGATGTCAGGTCTCGTTAGGGTTGGGTATTGCCAAAATGTTCGTATTGCGATACATTGTGATATGTGTTGGCTTATTGCAATATGTATAGCAATGTATTGTGAAAGTGTAACAAATGGTCAAAGGTAATGAAATTATTGTTTCCTTCCGCTTGAAATGATGCCACCATGACTCAGGTGTGATTGTACAAGGGATCAGTTGAAAATGTTTCCAAATTGCAGACTTCGCTCTAAAGGTTGGAACTGGAGAAAGCGTCTGCAGCCGCGTAGGCCATTTTGGTTTGTTCATCAATACAACGAGAGCCGGTACCAATTTATTTTTTTATTTATATGGTTTAAAAGTCATGCAATGCAATTATATGGCCAATAAGCATTCTCAAAACTATTAATGTATAATGATATAAAGGAAATGTTAAAAATGTTATTAATATATTTGACTACATCACGAAAATTACCGATCATGATCCCGGAAATTGCCGGTCGTATCGGGTGAACTGGTTCGCGAAAAGTGTACCGCAATATATCGTATTGTGAAGTTCGAATTGCAATATACCGGTTAACCAGTGATATCCCCCACCCCTAGTTCTGATACTGAAATATTTCTGTGTGTAAAAACAAGTAAAAATGTTCACATCATATGCAACGATGAACGTAGATGTATCAGTTCAAATGAGTTTTTGCGATACACAAACATTACATATGCTATAATGCTGTGAAGGTAATTTTGAAAATGTTATTAGAATCTCTTTCGAATTTCAATTATCACTAGTTCCAATAATCATGTCAAGTGTCATCTGATTTCTGGATGAAGAGATACTTTTTTGGTACTTCCATTTTCATGTTCCAATTTCCATTACAGCCGTTTCATATTTTTCCAGTTGAAAGTATTTTAAGTGTACAGTGAATAGTGTTGATGTAAATACATAGTGTGTACATTACCTCCATATATATTATATATTACTGACTGACTGAGTTGAGTTTTACGCCGCTTTTAGCAATATTCCAGCAATATCACGGCGGGGGGACACCAGAAATGGGCTTAACACATTGTGCGCATGTGGGGAATCGAACCCGGGTCTTCGGCGTGACGAGCCAACGCTTTAACCACTAGGCTACCCCACCACCCATATTATATATTACATATACATACAAAGTACATATACAGTCAGTCAGTTATAGCATTTCTAAAGGTAAATGGAAGGATGACCAGAAAGAATGAAAACTTGCATACTTATGATTTGAAAACGCAATGAATTTTGAAATTTCATAATATTTCACTTCATTGTATTTCTTTTTGAAACCATATATAATTTGGTTTCACTGCCATCTTATTACATGTATACAACCTATTTGATTGTTATTATCACCACATTAAGCTGATTATTATGCTTACCTTTAAATCCAAATAAAATATACTCTTCACCTAAATGAATTTTACTTTCTGTGTATCCTTCAATCCTTTCAGTAAATTTTGTCCAAATATCCACTGACAATTACAAAAAACATGTGCAATAGTTTGGATCGTTACACAGTAAACATGCTGGTGACTTAACATAGCCAATCTTATATAAATATGAAAGCTGTGAATACTTGTATATTAATTAATATAATATTTCATTAATAGTATATTTTAATAACAGTATATATGAAGAAGGGTCTAGTTACCATCTAGGTTCAGTTCCAACCCACAACAAAATGCGTAGAGCGATTCGTCGCTGGATGTGCCAGCGTTCAATAGCTACAGCCATGCAGAGTCCGCCAATAAACATCATGATCGTGTCCTTCAGAAAACAGGCAAATATATATTCCGTAGGTCAAACCAAATGTACACATCTGTGTTAACCTTTAGGCAATGGATAACAAATGTTTGAGAGGAATTCTAGAAATTGTTAGCAATAGGAATGACAAGTGTTTATGGATAATCAACTTCTTTATTGTACTATTGCCACGTTTTCAAACATGAAAACGGTATAAGCATCTATACCAGGGTCCCGGTCCTCAAAGCGATCGTAGCGCTAAGGTGATCGTAACTCCCATACTTTAACATAGACTTACGACAGTCGTAGCGCTACGATCGCTTTGAGGAACGGGGCCCTGAACGCCACAATTGTACAATAAGGAAGCCGATCATCCATAAAGACTTGTCATTCCTAATGGATAACAATGGAACTAGATATGCCAGCAAACCTTATTAGTGAAGTGCCATTCCCTAGACTATTGTTATCACAACTATTTTGAATATTAACACAAGTAGATGAATGCATGTGTCAACACACTAAAAAACATATTTAATTTTGACATCCATAATAAACTAAAAGGTTTAAAGAACCACTAAACTTTGTTTTTTGTTACACTTTTAACCATTACATATGAAAGATTTGTGGTTAGTCTTATGCGGAACACCAAATTTATTCTTTAAAAACTTGTGGTTAATTAATACCGAGCGATTAAAAGTGGCCAAAAAGTCGCCTGCTTCCCTCTCGCCCGCCAACGAAACCACAGACAGGTTACGTAACTCTGTCGCCAGTGCACTGCAGTGACGTCATATGAGGAACGATTTTCAGTTAGTTGTATAGAAAGTGTGTAGCACGCTCATCATTTTGATGATTTCTCGACATGAACGACGACATGCCGAATCGTTGCTTTGTCGTCAATTGCTCCTAGGGGTCGGGTGATGGTGTCACCATGCACAGATTTCCACAGGACCCCGCAGTTCGTGCTAAATGGGTTATGTTTGTGAGTGCGAAGCGAGCGTTGTGGAAGCCTGAAACGATATCTTACTTGTGTTCAGATCGCTTCACGGAAGTTAAAGAATCAAAACTACTTACTAGTTATAGTAAAATATGTATATGATTGATGACCATAAAGATTTTCCATAACACAACTTGTAACATAACGATTTCTTCCTCGGAAGTGAGGTTGTGGTCGAAGTAACAATAATATTGTAAGTAGTATTATATTGACACCCACCTCGCTGCCAGGAGAGAAATTGTTATGTTATACGCTATGTCATGCAAAATCCTATTGGCCATCAATAAAATACATATTTTACTACCAGTAGAAAGTAGTTTTGATTTTGTAACTCGGTGAAAACAAACCTAAATAGCATTTATCCACAGACTGGCGGATGTTCCCGACAGGGCGCCGCCATTTTTTGAAAATCGTAAAGTCTGTTAGAATGAATGAGATTATAGTTTGTTTTCATCAAGTTAGAAAATCAAAACTACTTTCTACTCGTAGTTAAATATGTATTGGAATCATAACCAAAAGGATTTTGCATGACACAACTTATAACATAACGATTTCTTCCACGGAAGCGAGGTGGGGGTCGAAGTCACAATACTGCGCGATAAATTTCTTGCTACATTCACATGGTTAATGTCCACTCACCAGTATGTAGATACTAGTCAATGTGCGTCTTTATATTTGGTCTTATAATCCTAATTACTTTATTATCATATCATTTTGAAACTAAATAAAAAGCTGACGATCTGCTGATACTTATAGTGAATTTATAACAGAACTGTAATATCTAGACATTTTATAGTTTGCCAATGTGAATCATAATTCGCACACACACCCTAGTATGTTGTCTGTCTCATTACACTTCACGGCGAAAACAATGATTCTGTTGAATGCTACGACAAATGAATAAAAAACAAAATACAAATATTAAAATTAAAACAGATTAAAGTTATAGGAACAATATCAGGCCATTACCTTGTTTGAGGAATGTATCCATCAATATCCACAAAACTGTTCCAAATGATGTGTCTTTTAACAGTTTAATATACGAAAAAGTGATAAATCTTTTCAGGTATTGGAGTATAGTCTCATTGGTCACCCAAGATAGCACACCTGGCAACTAATTGCATAATGTCCTCCTTTCATTAAAAACAGTAACTTAGTTAGCCAATAATGGGCAATCAATCAATGTATTGCCGGTTAATCCTTTGCAAGAAGGACGTTGTTTTTACGCAGACACCGACACCGCAGAGTGTATTCAGTATAGATTAGTAAATCTACATACATAAACACTACCTTTTGACAATTCCGCTGTGTAAGATAAAAGTAATTAATCAATCAGCGTGTTATCGGTTAATCCTTTGATCGATGTTTATAATGTTGAATATTTACTCCAGACACAAGAAATGCCAAATGGGAACCTTTGTCGGGTAATCTAAGTGTGTTACCACTAATTATACCTGTTATAAATTCATTAACTGACCATCAAGTGAATGATGACAAATAACATGTGTAGGTTTATACCACCTAACACGGGTTACAAGGGAGTATTAATTGCTGTATTGCATGTGAAAACTTATGGGCCGACACTGTTTTGAGAATACAAACAGATTTTTACATGACATGATTAAATATCGAGGTAAAAAAAACACAGAAATGGGATCAATTTGGATCAGTCATTATACAAATAGGGGCTAACGACACCAATCAATTGTGACAGAAGCGTCTATGAAAACAAGTTGTAACTCGGAAACTAGGCAAAGCAGGAGACAAAATTAAATGACAGTAGATTGTGAGAACATATAGCTTTCATTTTCCACAACAATTGTCACGATTTCAGGTTTATACAAGCCTGTAAACAAGATAATTTACCCCCCTAAAATGTAGATGAATTCTGCATCGGCCCTCAAAGCTATTCCTCATATGACGTCACAGAGTCGCGCCGCTCTGATTGGTTGAAATTTCGTTCGCGGGTGAGAATTGTGCACTGTTGTCAAAAAGGTCGATTTAAGTCGAAATGAGTAGTTTTAATGACGGGGTTTCATTTATAACGATGCCAGTTAGTGATTTATGTATTTTAACCCCCTAGGGTTTATGTGATCTT